TAGACGTAGTTTTTTGCATGCTGCTATATGAAAGGTTTAGCACGTTTTGTATGTTTACTAAATCATATACGAGCATAGTTTAGTATCATTTTGTAGGGTTGTTTTTCTTGCTGTAATTTTTTTTTTACATTTCCGAGTTTTCATTCTGTTTGCTGTATTATTTCCATGAAGGCATAATAAAGAGGGTCGCACACGGCTCGTGTTGGCACACCCCAATTGAGGTTGTTTGGTACATGATAAATGTTTTATATTCGTTTGAGCGGGGTAGCGAATTAGAATATAATATGTTTATATTAACAAACAACAACTTTGCACGTGAATCACGCTACTTTGTACATTTCTTTGTCATCGTTGTAACCTGAGATCAGGCCCAATTTTAGCGGTTCTCATACATTCTCTCTAACGGCCAGCGCTAAAATTGGGCCTGATCCAAACTCATTCACGTTTGTGCTCGTTACGGCCAGATTTTGGCCGTAACGCTGATTAGCTGCTAGAACAATGCCATAAGATCTGATTGGCTGTCGGAAACGCCAGAAGTTGAAAGCGCTTATTCCTCGCGTGGTTGTTTTCGTGAATGATCCGTCGTCGGCGGAGAGGAGGATCGATTTTGCTGTCTTTTTTATTGTTTTATGGTCTTATGGTAGGAAAATATGCCTTAATATGTGCCATGGAAATTCAGAAAATTCATATCGTTGTTCTGATATTCTCTGGATTTGCTTTATTTACGGAACTAATGTGAGTGTATCGCGGAGTTGAATCCCTTTGCAAGTTGTTGACCGATAACAAGGTGCCTTTTGATCAGTTTACCGACAAACGAGTGCAAATCCAAATACTGTCCATCTTAAAACTGGTTTCATTTGCAAGTTTAGCCGGGAATGACTTCTCTGAACGGGGTACGCAAGCGAAGGCTCACTGCGAAAGAAACCCAAATCGCCAACTGTGAAGCATTAGACGAAAAATATCGCATCGCTGTTCAAGGAATTTTCAGTGTAGGCATTATTACAAAAGCTGCTGGTTGTTTGCCTTCGCTTTTTGTAAAAGATATGCCAGGAAAACTGGTGTCCTCGCTCGTTGGCTGTTTGCTTTTGTTTTAAGGATTTATGTACTGAAAATCGGGGGAAAATATTAAGGCAACAGAAAAATACAAATTTCAGTATTTTAAATTCGAGCGTAGTAGAACATCGTGTCGCCGTCTTTTCGAAAACTTTTTACCTTCTACACCAACAGAAATAACCTTCGAGATCTCCCCTAATCTCGCAAGAAGTTAAATGCGATTGTGCTGACTGTTTTATTTTTAGCTGAAAAAATTAACAGATAAAAGCTACTTTTTAAGTTAGCCAGTCTACATTTTTCTCACGCGTGAAAAATTTGCATACTAGAAAAACAAGCAACGGAAGTAATTTTGGTTGGCTGATTCGGCAAATGTAAATCAATCAAAAAAGTGGGCGGCAGACGTTTCGTAGAAGGTTTGTATCAGGCTCTCTTTTCGTTTCGCCATGCCCGCCGGAATGTAATTTTCAAAGCGAAACGAAAATAGAGCCTGATCTCAGGTTATCATCGTTGCACCACATGAAACTTCCTAATTTCACCAGCCCGCTTTATGGAGTAGGTAAACAGAACACAAAAATTGTCACTTTGTTTTTCTAAACTTATATAACGATAGATACGGTCCCAAAGAAAATTTCGCCAAGATTTGCCAAATTAAATGAAATTGAATGAGATCAGTGAAGTTTGAGTAGTGGATAAGGCACCGAATTAACCTTTTCTTTGCGGGGGAATTCCATTAACTTTCGGGGGAATACATTAACGCCGGTGACGTCATACATCTCATTAAGAGAGGATGATGTCATACTTTAAATAAATGCCGATGACGTCACGCATGCTATTAAGATAGGATGATGTCATAGTTTATTTTTAGCTGGCTGACGTCATGCATGTCATATAGATAGGATGATGTCATAATTTATTTGTAGCTGGCAAGGAGCAAGCTAAGTTACATCAGAATTTCCTAGACTTGACGTCATCAAAAAATGTTGAGATCATAATCTATAAACAGAAAAGTGATTTTTTATATAATCAGCTATTTGCGATAGTTTTCTTATTGGATATCGTAGAAACTGTTATGTGTTCAAAATAAAAGCGGGCAAATTTTGAACGTGTTATCTTTGCAGATTATACTAAATGAAAAATCTTTAATCATTAAATTTTTTCTCACTAAAAATCGGTTATAAAGAAAACTAAGACACTGAGGTTAACTAAAAAATCTTGACTTCAAAAGAAGGGAAAAGGAGGTTAAGCGAATGCGAAATCGTTCTAATTTTTCAGGCAAAACATGAAAACGAGGTTGAAGCTCAGTGAAGCGAAAAACTGCCTATCAAGCAAAAATGTCAATCTTTGTTTACTTGACTCTGTAAAAAGTATTGCACAGGGTATGAAAATTCTATAGAAAACAACACGTGGTTCTAAAGTAAACCCTAACTCTTTTGGTTCTTAAATAAACCCCATTCTTGTTCCTAATGAGTGGAAAGTCTATTTATTAAAATAGGAATAAGAGGTGCGATCGCCTAGCAACACATGTCTTCTTATTTAGCGCTAAAAATCGGACATATAACAAAACACACACACATACAACAAGTGGAGCTGAAAACTCTCTGCTTCAATTTTGACTCACCATTACAAAAGCGTTTTCTCCGTTCTATCTCGAGGAAACTCAGCACTTGGTGAGCTTATGGTCTTGTCAGTTCACCCGCCGTTAGCGTTAGTCAGTTAATTATGCGGGTTAACAAGCCCAAAGTTGAATACAAACTAGTTGATCTCTGCAGCTAGACCCAAGGGAGCACCTTGACTTATTATTGTAAAAACACAAACAATTAATAACTTAACAAGGATCAATTTAAACACGCGACAAATAAATTGACAAGACAAGAGATACAGTTTTAAAAACTTTATTGAAAACCAGTGACAAAAAGAGTCAAATAAACAGCGACTTGGAAGGTTTCCAACGTCTTCGCGTTTTTGTGTGTAATTAATCCACAATCGTGACACCGAAGAAAGCCCTCTTTGATGTATTTTCTCTCCTCGGGGATCTGGTGATCGCATACAGGACAAATCTTGTAGTTATCGTGCCAAAAGCATTTAGGACATTTCATGATCAATGTGGAGTACACATTAGAGTTTTCGCAATGTTCACAGGGACTTTTAGAGTGAAAGGTGGTAGAAGTTTCAGGACTTCTACTTTCTGTTTCCTCACTATCGTTTTCAGTGTCGTTGTCGCTCTCTTGGGTACCTTCAGTTTCAACGCCATTCTCAGAAGCCGCTTCCTCCTCCTCCTCCTGATTTTCAATATCCGATGAACTCTCCTCATTATTACTCTCATTATCGGAAGTATTTTCTACCTTTCGGCAGCCTTTTTCCTTTTCTATTAAATCACTTAACAACTTTTTGTTCTTGATTAAACCTTATCGATTCCTAACTCTGCAAGTCCATCTAGAAACGTATTCAGCGCACGAGGCTTGGTAACCTCATTGTTATGAGGGAGTAACACATACTCAACTAGCTCGGCGATGTTTGCGACGGGAATAGTGCGTTTATTTCGTAGTAATTGTCCGCTGGGAGTCCAGAAAAAGAATATCTTTGGACGCAGCCATACTATGCAGCAAATCAGAAGCACGCTTTTCCGACACTGCTCGGGAAAGATGACTCAAAACATATTTTATTCTTGGTTCTTCATCCTCGCTTTCATCACCAGAACTTTAACTTTCTTCATGTTCACTCTCGTGTTCTTCTTCAACCAAATCTATCCTTCTCTTCATTTTGATGAGTACCCGCGACAGACCGTAGCTTCAAATGAGTAACTTATAGTTTCGTTTCCTCTTTTATAGCATTAAAAATCCTAGGCTTGTAACAGCAGGTACCAATAGGTCTTGAATAAAACCATCGCCCTCTTGTACAAGGATTCGCTTCTTTGTTTTGTAGGGGGCATTTGTTTCTGCTAGGTTTACTAGAGCATCCTTACTAGAGCATCCTTTCCGCTTATTTTCTTCGGGGATAAGAATGTATTCCTTAAGTATATTGTATAAGACTTGGACTAATGCATGTAGTTGTTGTGGACTGGCTGTCCGTAAAAGAAACTGTCGCTGATGAGCTGGACAAACAGCTAAGAATTGAAGAAAACCACGAATGTTCTTGACAACTTGAGGCATAGCGACAAACTGAACTTATGATAGTAGTTTGCAGTCTTGTATTGACTGTCGTGGAGAAAAACAATGGAAATGTGGTGGCGGTGGTGGTGCTGGTGGTTGTGGAGGAAAAACAATAGAAATGTGGCGGCGGTGGTGGTGGTGGTGGTGGTGGAGGGAAAACAATAGAAATGTGGTGGCGGTGGTGGTATTGGTGGTTGTGGAGGGAAAACAATAGAAATGTGGTGGCGGTGGTGGTGGTGGAGCGAACACAATAGAAATGTGGTGGCGGTGGTGGTATTGGTGGTTGTGGAGGGAAAACAATAGAAACGTGGTGGTGGTGGTGGTGGTGGAGGGAAAACAATAGAAATGTGGTGGCGGTGGTGGAGGGAAAACAACAGACATGTGGTGGCGGTGGAGGGAAAACTATTGAATTTTATAGCCTTCAAAACTATATCAATGCGCATTATGCTAGCATTTTCTCAGTCTACATTCTGCTCCTGAGGAGCTGACATGAGTTGGTTCTGTTCCGTTTGCGAAAAATCATTTAGTAGAAAGGACAGCATGCAAAGGCACGTGATGTCTAAACACCACAATGTTGGTCTCACACCATTTCAAACAGTTCCGTTTTCACAGAAATGTCCGCGTTTTCGATTCGAGAATCCTTTTACCTGCATGATTGCCGGAATGACCGGCTCAGGAAAAACGGCCTGGGTTCGATCTCTATTGCAACAAGCTTCACAGACAATTTACCCTCTCCAGGAGAGGATCGTTTGGTGTTATTCACAATGGCAGCCAGCGTATACACAAATGTTAGTCGCCATGCCACACATTGAATTCGTCAAGGGAATTCCTACGGCTTTGGAGCAGGATTCCTATTTTGATGTGAACAAACGGAATCTGATCGTGTTTGATGATCAGATGATTGACGCCAAGCGGATTGTGAACCTTTTTACTCGTGGTTCTCATCATCGCAATCTGAGCGTGATTTATATCGTGCAAAATCTATTTCATCAGGGGAAAGGTAGCCGCAGCATAAGCCTAAACAGCCATTATCTGGTGTTATTCAAGAATCCACGAGATATGTCCAGAAATGCACGCATTGGCGAAAATGGCAGAAATGGCAATTAATCGCCAAAATCGCCAAACTATAAACAAAAATTCAAATGAGATGGCAAAGGGGCCCTTTGCAAAGTGGCGATTTCGGCGAAAATGGCGTATTTGGCGAAAATGGCAGAAATGGCAATTAATCGCCAAAATCGCCAAACTGTAAACAGAAATTCAAATGAGATGGCAAAGGGGTCCTTTGGAAAGTGGCGATTTCGGCGAAAATGGCGTATTTGGCGAAAATGGCAGAAATGGCAATTAATTACCAAAATCGCCAAACTATAAACAAAAATTCAAATGAGATGGCAAAGGGGCCCTTTGCAAAGTGGCGATTTCGGCGAAAATGGCGTATTTGGCGAAAATGGCAGAAATGGCAATTAATCGCCAAAATCGCCAAACTGTAAACAAAAATTCAAATGAGATGGCAAAGGGGCCCTGTGGAAAGTGGCGATTTCGGCGAAAATGGCGTATTTGGCGAAAATGGCAGAAATGGCAATTAATTACCAAATCGCCAAACTGTCAACAAAAATTCAAATGAGATGGCAAAGGGGCCCTTTGCAAAGTGGCGATTTCAGCGAAAATGGCGTATTTGGCGAAAATGGCAGAAATGGCAATTAATCGCCAAAATCGCCAAACTGTAAACAGAAATTCAAATGAGATGGCAAAGGGGTCCTTTGGAAAGTGGCGATTGCGGCGAAAATGGCGTATTTGGCGAAAATGGCAGAAATGGCAATTAATCGCCAAAATCGCCAAACTATAAACAAAAATTCAAATGAGATGGCAAAGGGGCCCTTTGCAAAGTGGCGATTTCGGCGAAAATGGCGTATTTGGCGAAAATGGCAGAAATGGCAATTAATCGCCAAAATCGCCAAACTGTAAACAAAAATTCAAATGAGATGGCAAAGGGGCCCTGTGGAAAGTGGCGATTTCGGCGAAAATGGCGTATTTGGCGAAAATGGCAGAAATGGCAATTAATTACCAAATCGCCAAACTGTCAACAAAAATTCAAATGAGATGGCAAAGGGGCCCTTTGCAAAGTGGCGATTTCAGCGAAAATGGCGTATTTGGCGAAAATGGCAGAAATGGCAATTAATCGCCAAAATCGCCAAACTGTAAACAGAAATTCAAATGAGATGGCAAAGGGGTCCTTTGGAAAGTGGCGATTTCGGCGAAAATGGCGTATTTGGCGAAAATGGCAGAAATGGCAATTAATCGCCAAAATCGCCAAACTATAAACAAAAATTCAAATGAGATGGCAAAGGGGCCCTTTGCAAAGTGGTGATTTCGGCGAAAATGGCGTATTTGGCGAAAATGGCAGAAATGGCAATTAATCGCCAAAATCGCCAAACTGTAAACAGAAATTCAAATGAGATGGCAAAGGGGTCCTTTGGAAAGTGGCGATTTCGGCGAAAATGGCGTATTTGGCGAAAATGGCAGAAATGGCAATTAATCGCCAAAATCGCCAAACTTTAAACAAAAATTCAAATGAGATGGCAAAGGGGCCCTTTGCAAAGTGGCGATTTCGGCGAAAATGGCGTATTTGGCGAAAATGGCAGAAATGGCAATTAATCGCCAAAATCGCCAAACTATAAACAAAAATTCAAATGAGATGGCAAAGGGGCCCTTTGCAAAGTGGCGATTTCGGCGAAAATGGCGTATTTGGCGAAAATGGCAGAAATGGCAATTAATTACCAAATCGCCAAACTGTCAACAAAAATTCAAATGAGATGGCAAAGGGGCCCTTTGCAAAGTGGCGATTTCAGCGAAAATGGCGTATTTGGCGAAAATGGCAGAAATGGCAATTAATCGCCAAAATCGCCAAACTGTAAACAAAAATTCAAATGAGATGGCAAAGGGGCCCTTTGGAAAGTGAGGATTTTGGCGAAAATGGCGTGCACTAATTCTGTATCTTTTCATCAACCACAAATAAAAAAAAAATATAGAGTGCATGTTGGCCTCGTTCTTAAAACGTGTTTTGGCAGAAATGGCAATTACTCGATGAAATACCTAATTTGTCAAGACAAATTGAAATGACATAGCAAAGGGTCCCTTTTGAAATGGCTATTAATTGCCAAATAGTTAACCACATATTAATATAAAAATGTTTCCAATAGTATAATTGTATACTAATAATGACACTAAGTGTCATTAATCTGTTTTTAATGCTTTTACCTTTAATTGATAACCTCTTGTGATTTGAAATTCGTCCCACACAAGAGTGTTCGGTCGGGAATTACCACTTATAACTAATTTCTTGCTCAATTCAAATCGAATGGCCAACGAGTTGTATTCAATTATCAGTAAATGGTAATCTTCGTAATGTTCATGGCAACTTTCTTACCAAAAAATCCAAGATAGGTATCCTTAATTTTCCAGGCTTGTAGGCATTGTTTGAATAGCGACAGTTCAACATTATATGTTATGAGGAATCCAGGTTGGTTCTTGGCTACGCATTCAGATAATTAGATGGTCCGTATTGCCTTGTATATCCATCCTGTTTGTTATAATGGCGTTCAATCGTACAAGTATATATAAACGAGCTGGTTCATTGCAGTTTCACAGAACATGAACGTATAAGGTTTAGTAGTTGTTATACAGACGCGGCGACCATGTTGAAATAGTCGATTTTGGATAACTACTCTATGTAAGTAGAAACGATTAGTGTCATTCCCAGCCGACTTTGGTGGTCACTCTATGTTTATAGCTCCTCTATGTAAGCAAAACGATCAATGTCGTTCACAGGGACTCTCAGGCAATTGTTAAAATAGAAGGTAAAAAGGCCGGGTGACGTGTTTCGACGAGCATTAGCATTAGCAATTTAATGGAAACATATTGTATTGAGAATTGGTTTGGTGGTCTCAGCGCAAAAAAACAATACATTTTCTAAATTTCTGGCCCCACCTCATAAAGCAATAATGGGACACATTTTTGAAGAACGAGACAAACATGTACACTCTCTTTTTATATATCTAGTTGATGAAAAGATACAGAATTAGTTTGAATGGGATATGTTTTATGAAAGAGACAAACAAGTTATTGCTTTGATCCACTGTTTATGTTCAATAAATGCGGTGAAGTGTTGGGCACAAGTGACATTTCGTGCAGGTTTACATAAAGTGGAAATAAGCGAAATCACACATTTCAAAATGGCGCACGCAAGCTGCTGGACATTTCGGCTTTCGTTACTTTTAGGGGACCGTTTCTCTAAAGAGCAAAGCAAGTAAGTGCGAGAAGAAAGTGAAGAGTTTAAAACGACGGAAGAAGATAATGTGTATAGTGGAGAACCAAAAAAGAATGAAGGGCACACACTAGCTGGTTATCGTGAAAGCATCTTTTAGCCAGGAACCATGAGTTTCGCAATCGCTTTTGATTTAAGGCTGCCTCACAATTTAATGGAACCAATGTGAAGAGAATTGTAACCAGTGAGGATTGTTAAGGTCTACATCGAACCTCAAAAGTTAGAGTGTCCATGGCAAGGAATTATTATGATTTCAAGGACTTGGTAGTTCTCTCCTCGAGTAATTAGTGGACTTGTAAGTCTTTGAAAGGAAATGAACCATACAAAAGCAAATGATGCTAGTGTGATATTTCAGCGCATCACATCACTTTTGGTAAGTCAAGCGACTTACTTAACCTGTGAAGTACATGGCACAAATACATATTAGCTTAACTGAAACGACTTGCATTTGTTGTTTTCAGATATATTTGATTCAGTTTTATTTGATAAAATAACGTTGTTTGACAGTTAGGTAAAGCTGTTTTGTCATATATTTGATTCAGTTGTATTTGATAAATGTTGCCTCACAGTTATTCGGGCCTCTTATTAGGCAAGTAATTTGAACTTTTTTTTAGTACTGTTGCCTCACAGTTATAAGGACCTCTTTAGTTATCTCCTTTGAAGGGGCCACTTTTGGCATCCAATTTGAATATTTTGCCACATATCGCCAGCCCTCAGGCGATTTTTGCCAAAATTGCCAATTTCGCCAAAATCGCCATTTTCGCCAAAATCGCCAGCCTCCAAGGGGCCACTTTTGGCATCCAATTCAAATTGCCAGAGGCTGGTGATTTTTCGCCATTTTCGCCATGGCATGCATGGCAATTTTTGCCAAAATCGCCAATTTCGCCAAAATCGCCATTTTTGCCAAAATCGCCAGCCTCCAAGGGGCCACTTTTGGCATCCAATTCAAATCGCCAGCGGCTGGCGATTTTTCGCCAGTTTCGCCATTGCATGCATTTCTGGACATAAGTGGAATCCACGAGACAAATTGCAAATCCTGACTCTGGCAAAGCAAATGTATCCCGGGCAGACTGATTTCTTTTTAAATCAGTACGAAAGGCTGTAAAAAGACCTTTTGGTTATCTTCTGATTGATGTGAAAACTACTACCCAAGATAATTGTCGGTTGCGAACAAACGTCCTGCCCAGTGAAGAAGGCTTTAACCAAGCAGAGTTTCAAGAAAATATTCCTCAAATGCTTCTAAAATATCTGAAGCAGCAAACTCTTTCGCCTGTCCCGCTTCTTCCAGCTATGCAAGAAATACAAGGCAACATGGATGACGTGCTTTCTCGAAACGATCTTCGGGACGATGAAAAAGCTAAGCGATACTTTCAGTTGCAAAACAGATACCTGGCTTTTACAGAACAATTAAATACAAGAACACGACCGGAAGAAATAATCAGCACTGTTCCAGACTTAACGTCAAGGACACAAGATTCTTCGACAGCAACGACAGCATGCTCCACTCCACTTAACCCCTTTAATGAAACACCTGAGTTAACACAAGCGGCTATCTCTCAAAAACCTGACAAAGAAAGCCTCACCCCTCCACCACCCTTAAATCCTGCTCTCCTGAACCCTCCTCCCACAGTAGAAACCCCATCACAACAAGGCCCGAAGCGCAAAAGGTGTCGAATTCAATTTGTAAATTATTTGGATGATCATAAAGCTCATGCCAAACAGCTGAAGAAACGTCGGCATAAGAAATTCAAACCTTACAAGTACTCCATGGGCGAAGAAGATGAAGATTAATTAATTTCCATTCCTTACAAATCGGTGTGTATTTGACTCTTTTTTATTGTCACTGGTTTTCAATAAAGTTTTTAAAACTGTATCTCGTGTCTTGTCAATTTATTTGTCGTGTGTTTAAATTGATCCTTGTTAAGTTATTAATTGTTTGTGTTTTTACAATAATAAGTCAAGGTTCTCCCTTGGGTCTAGCTGAAGAGATCAACTAGTTTGTATTCAACTTTGGGCTTGTTAACCCGCATAATTTACTGACTAACGCTAACGGCGCGTGATCTGACAAGACCATAAACTCACCAAGTGCTGAGTTTCCTCGAGATAGAACGGAGAAAACGCTTTTGTAATGATGAGTCAAAATTGAAGTAGAGAGTTTTCAGCTCCACTTTTTGTATGTGTGTCTGTTTTGTTATATGTCCGATTTTTAGCGCTAAATAAGAAGACGTGTTGCTAGGCGATCGCACCTCTTATTCCTATTTTAATAAATAGACTTTCCACTCATTAGGAACAAGAATGGGGTTTATTTAAGAACCAAAAGAGTTAGGGTTTACTTTAGAACCACGTGTTGTTTTCTATAGAATTTTCATACCCTGTGCAATACTTTCTACGGAGTCAAGTAAACAAAGATTGACATTTTTGCTTGATAGGCAGTTTTTCGCTTCACTGATCTTCGACCTGGTTTTTCATGTTTTGCCTGAAAAATTAGAACGATTTCGCATTCGCTTAACCTCCTTTTCCCTTCTTTTGAAGTAAAGATTTTTTAGTTAACCTCCGTGTCTTAAATCTGCAAAGATAACGCGTTCAAAATTTGCCCGCTTTTATTTTGAACACATAACAGTTTCTACAATATCCAATAAGAAAACTATCGCAAATAGCTGACTATATAAAAAATCACTTTTCTGTTTATAGATTATGATCTGAACATTTTTTGATGACGTCAAGTCTAGGAAATTCTGATGTAACTTGCTCCTTGCCAGCTACAAATAAATTATGACATCATCCTATCTATATGACATGCATGACGTCAGCCAGCTAAAAATAAACTATGACATCATCCTATCTTAATAGCATGCGTGATGTTATCGGCATTAATTTAAAGTATGACATCATCCTCTCCTAATGAGATGTATGACGTCACCGGCGTTAATGTATTCCCCCGAAAGTTAATGGAATTCCCCCGCAAAGAAAAGGTTAATTCGGTGCCTTATCCACTACTAGTTTGAAATAGTGCGATTAGACTTTCAAGTGACTTTATCGGTTTGTTGTCATTCAAAAATTTTGCTACCATGGCAACGTGACGTAAGGACTTCTCCTCTCTATTATGATGTGACAAGCATTAAACTTGGATCCTGCAGTCCCAGGATCTTGCTTTTAGCTAATGTTATCAATGAAATAACACACAACAACAGATAGAGAAATCATTTCTCGAAACACTGTATTTTAAAACCCATAAATTAATCCTTGAAAGCAATTCTCGTTACACAAACCGTCTCGTGGGTCGGTTCACGCCAGTAAATCGACTGCGCACAGGGCAAAAGTTATTCAACACAAACCTCAAACACAGGGGCGCTCAAACCGATCTCAAAATGTATAAAACGTGTAAGATGAAATATTTACAAATACATAATTTTCCTTTTAAAAACGTAACTTTCTTGACTATAGAGTACAAAATATACCTGAAGATTTTTAAAAACTTCGCTGCCTCGTTGCGTTTCAAAGCAGGCAAAGTGTTCCGATCGGCCGTGAAGAAAATTTCGAACTTCTCAAATGAAAATTTTGTAAAGAAAAGCCTTTCGTTGTCCACCAAAAGAAAACTGTGCATTGTTTTGAAACCCAACTGCGCATCACTCTGGAAGATCTTGCTAGAAATCTTGATCATGGCAAGCAAAGCGATATTATCTTGCTGGACTTTGCTAAAGCTTTTGATACTGTCCCACACCAACGCCTCCTACTCAAGCTAAGCCTCTACGGCGTACAGGGCACAATCAACAAGTGGATTCAAGCGTGGCTTTGCTATAGGGAACAATCCGGCCATCTTAGTGGAAAGAGATAAATCTGCGCCTGCATCAGTTATGGCTGGCGTCCCGCAGGGCACTGTTTTTAGCCCCATAATGTTCCTCGTCGACATTAACGATAAAGGTGCAAATATAAAATCTCACATTTGACTTTTTGCTGACGACATGATCTTATACGCAACCGCGAGCAGCAAAGATGACGCCAATAGTTCTCAGCAAGACCTTGACGGCCTAGTGGCCTGGACCAAATTATGGCAAATGTCCCTCAGTTGTGACAGTATTCTATTCACATACATTCATATTCATGCTCAGTTCTAATAAGGTATGGGAAAAAAGATTGATCAGCGGACTAAGCCAAGATGGGACAGCTTGGCTTAGGAAGAGTTCAAGATACGACTCACGCGATTTTTGAGCGGGACTGGGTGGGCCGTCCACCTCTTCGCGGCTCCGCTGAAAAACTGAGCAAGAATGGTTTATTTTCGCGCCAAACCAGAATTTATTATCGGTAATTACGTAATCGCACGTGAGACCGTGAGTGAGTGAGACCGTGAGTGTTGTGAATAGATGTAAGATCCTTAGGGCTTATCGATCGAGAAACTAAATCATTCATCAGTATACAATGAATGGAACTCCTTTGGACTCTGTATCTCATAATCCTTACTTGGGAGTGGAGCTGTCCTTAAATTTGAATTGAAGCTGATATATACCTGGATTTTTGAAAACCGGGTTAGCAAAAATATCAACTCATTCTACTACCTGGCAATTTAAAACACCAAAACTCATTCAAAGGCCGATTAAAAGCTTTTATCTGACGCCGAGCAGTAAGTTAGTGGTCCCTGGAGTCCAAATTTAAAATGACGCAGATTTTAGAACATTTCTTCAGTAAACTGACTTCGCGAAGTTTCAAAGCGGTGTCATTTCAGTCTAGAAATTTTTAAGCTGAGTGAACTGCAGCGAAAGAGTGCCTGGTTAAGGCTTACATAACAACTTAAACAGTTAGCAAAACAATAGTTTTTTCGCGGTTCGATAAACAACAGGATTCCGCGTGAAATAGACAACAAACTGAATGAAACGTAGTGCACAAATTATCACTTTCTTATCTGCTAAAATCGGCTTATGGTTCAATGCCATTAGACTCCGTTGAAACTAGACCTAGATCCAATTTTCCTGAGTCGAGAGTCGCTTTTCCAAGGTACAATCAGTTAAGCTCAACATCAATGGGTGGCACAGAATATTTTGGCCAAACCGCAGTTCAACCAGGCGATCACATACCTGTCAACACCATGCGGAAATCACACAATCACGCGGCACTGATAAGACTATCCACAACCACGCATAATCTTCTCACGTTTAACATAAGCGAAATATCATCGAATAACTCGGAAAAACTCAGCTTATTGCCAGATAAACGCCTCTGGACTTTTCTCTTACACTCGTCTCATTCAAGTTCCCGGATGTAGAGTCACACGGTCGGCAGATCACCCCTGCCTTGTTTTCATACCAGAAAGTCTTCGCCCGGGTCAGAGTTCACCGGCAATTTTGCTCTCACCTAATTCATTGGACTCCTAAGAGCCTGTTCCCGAGGCCAAAGACTTAGTGGTCACCTTAGAAAAGCGAACAATATTGTACCTTTCTGTCTCAGCCCGGATCAGGGTGATTGATCCGTTTAGCCCGGCATAGTAAATCGAACGTTCGAAAATCGAACTCAATGGAACTCAATCGAACTCAATCCGTGGATTGAGTTCGATTGAGTTCGGCAATCGAACGAAATTGAACACCACACTTTCAGTGAGTTCGATTTCCGAACAAATCGAATTCAATCGAACAAATCGAACTCAATCGAACTCAATCCGTCTGATTGTGTTCGATTGAGTTCGGAAACCGAACTCAATCGAACACAATTAAATGGATTTCGTTCGATTGGCTCTGGTGAACCTATACAAAGCAAGCCCAAATCAAGCCCGTCAAAGCAAGTTTTTCTTGCGCTTTTTTTACTATTTATTTAATAACACACATTTATATGTATTCGCGAATCCCTTACAAACATCTTCACTTACCAAGTTATCGAAGCATTTACAGGCCACAGGGAAGCAACCAGTTCACGTTGAAGGTGACCTAATTGTCCGCGCTCGTTTGCAATTCGGAAGGCACGGCCTTTGTCGCCTATTTTCTTTAAAATCCTGAAAACGTCGCCATCCTTGACGTCAAAGCGGCATTCCTGGTAGCCTTTGACTATACATTTGAAGCTTACGATCCACAACGCATCTGAAACCATTTCTGCGGAATTTCTTCGTTTACGAAAAACACGTGCGCTACACTCAGGGCTAAAGTAACTCGAGCTTCTAAGATGTGGTAATGGATTTTTAACGTCTGTTTTATATAAATCACGAGTTCGAAAATCGAACGTTCGATTGGGTTCGATTGATTTTTTTTCTTTTCGGTGAGTTCGATTTCGTTCGATTGCCGAACTCAATCGAACTCAATCCACCGATTGAGTTCGATTGAGTTCGATTGAGTTCGATTGAAATTTAGTTCGATTGGGTTCGATTTACTACGCTGGGTTTAGCCAAATGAAACGAGAATATAATACGATATTGGACGATGCAGACTCTGCGAATCGTAATAACTTTGTCCCATCTCAGAGCTTTACATGATGCTCCCGGAAAACTTTTCTCAAGGTGACCAATATAAAACTAAAACTGCCAAACGGCACCGAAACCAGCTTTAGGCGCGCGCTGATTCACTTGTGTTAAAGAAAGAATTGTGGGTAGGGAAAAAAAATCAGGAGGGGGGGGGGTAAGATAGTAATTCAGTCTACAT